CCTGTAGCTCTACGGTTCAGTGAGGGATGTCATGTCTCATCGTGGGGCTGGCCCTACGGTCCTTTCTGTGCATTGTCTGCTCTGAGCAGGAATATCATCCTCAGGGCCTGGTGGGCCTGGATGCATTCCCCTCCCTCTCCATCCCTCTTTGTTTCTCCTGTGTGCTCTAATCAGATGTGCCCCTCTCCCAAAGCTGTAGCTTCAGTGCTGTCCTCTGAGGTGTATTCTTCTGGGGGTGTAGGGGGGGAGTTTCCACATAGTTGGGATTGGAGCTAGCCCCACAGACCTCTGTATTGGTTCCCTAGAATGTGCCAGTATGTTGTATTCATGTTCTTGTCTCTCCCTCTCCTGTGGAGAAATAAACAATACCCTCCCCATGGGTGGGTTAGTGCCCTGCTAAACCCCTACCCATGTCTTTTTTTCTCTTTCTTCCCCCCTCCTATTTAGTTGGCTGCTGTATGTATCCCTGGATAGGGTTTGGCCCCTGCCATAATACCTGGATCTCAACAAGGAAAGTATGTATATAGTAGCTTTTTCCCTATGCCCCATTTCTTTTTTAAGCTTACCTCAGTGGACTCATGTTGTACTTATCCTTTTGTGCTTGGCTTACTTCATTAAGCATGATTTCCTCCAGTTCTTCCCATGTGGCAATGTGCTTCATGCGTTCAGTGATGCATAGTACTCTATTGCAGGTATGTACCACAGTTTTTTAATCCATTCATCTATTGATGAAAATTTGGGTTGTTTCTAACTCCTTGCAATTATGAACTGTGCTGTGATGAACATTGGAACACAGATGTCTGGACATGGTTTATTTCTTGCCTCTTCTGGGTATATGCCCAGTAGGAGCATTGCTGGGTTGTATGGTAGCCGGTTTTCCATCTGTTTTAGATATAGCCAGATCGATTTCCATAGTGGCTGTTCAGACCTACAGGTCCACCAGCAGTGGACAAGAGTTCCTATCTCCACACAGCCCCTCCAACACTTGTTACTTTCTGATTTTTTGAATTGGGTGATCTTTGAGGGTGTTAGGTGGTATCTCATGGTTGTTTTTTAATTTGTATTTCTCTTATGGTTAAGGGTCAGGAACATTTTCTCATATGTTTATTGGAAAGGCCATATTTTCCAACTAATGATTCTTTTTGTTGTTTCCAACTTTCCATTTCAATCACCAATAATTATCAATGCAGACTGATGGCATGTTTGATCAATGTTGGACTGCAGAAGTTGGTAAAAATATTTTATTTCTTCATAGTTGGCATTAGTGGTACAGAACATACAATTAATAAGCACACAAATTAGCACAATAATTTCTGATTGCATTAGAGTCCATACAGGAAATAAAGAAAGGCGTTGTCAAGGAGAGTGCACAAATCCCTCTGTGCGTTAGTGAACTCATCTGTCTAACAGAAACAAGAATAGGGGGCTGCAATTTAAAAATGCCTAAACCAAAAGAGCTGTCCTGAAAACACTATGTGATTTGAATTCATTTAAAGTTGAATCTTGACCCAAACTGAAAAAGACAGTTTATTGTTCTTGTTTTGCTTTTTGAAAAAAATCTTAGCACGATAAATACTCACACACTACACACATTTTTGTGGGGTTGATGCTGCCCCGGGTCCCAATAGGAGTATGATGTAATATAAGGCATATGTATAAAATGACCTTATGGAATCTGAAAACTTCTGAATTTGAAAACATCTATTGCCCCCCAAACTTTCGATGAGTAACTGAAGACCTGTAATACCCTCCGCTCCACCCTGGGGTTATTGAAAAGAGCCCAGATGATGCTGTGGGCTAGGCACTGGACTGTTAATGGTAAGATCTGCTGTTCAAACCCAGCAGCTGCTCTTCAGGAGAAAGATGAGGCTATCACCTCCCGTAAATATTTACAGTCTTAGAAACCTTATCGAGGGCTGCTGTGAGTCGGAATCATCTCAATGACAGCTGGGTCAGGATTTTTGTGAGGAGTAGAGGAATTAATATATGCAAAGCATTTAAAATGATGTCTGACATATCATAAGCATGACATAAATTAGCTGCTCTTGCTATCATTAATACCACTATCATATGAGAAGGAATATGGGTCAGTTGATCAGGGAAAACCTCACTGAGAATGTGTCCCTTGAGGAGACACCTAAGGGATGTGGATGGTCTGACCATAGAAAGAGAAGAAGGAAGACAGAGAAGCTACATTCAGCAAGAAAGAAGAGCAGATGCCAAGAGCACGGGGGCTGTGAACATGGCTGGAATGCGGAACAGAAAGCAGACTTAGTGGCTAGTGTGTGACTCAACAGAAAGATGATTCAAGGTCAGAAAGGTAGGCTAGGATAATAATGTATTGTGGCTGTTCTGATGAATATTCATAAAGAATTCTCTGATGAGGGTTAATAAAGGAACTGGAGAGAAAGAGAATCGTGGAGGTCACACAAGACTTTGTTGCAAAAGCCCCTGGGAGGCCTGATGGCTAATTGAATAAGAGAGATGGTTGTATTGAAGAACAAAATGAACAGTATGGGGAAGGGAAACTTCTTAGTACTGTACTTCTTGCCAGAGTTGTTGTAATTCCCACCAAACGATGGGGTGGAAGTATGTAAACAAAGGGTACTAGATTCTATCTCAATGATTGGTCAGTTTTGCCAGTCTACTGTGTACAAAAGTGAGCCCTCTTAGAAGCAGGAAGAGAGAATCCCATGACCATCAAGAAAGAAGTTACTGGTGGAATGCCTGAAGTAGAGGGACCATCGGAGGCAACAGAGGCAGCGCTTTCCAGCCCACTGAAAAACAAAAGCTGAATGCTTTCAGAGAGGCTGGGGTAGAGGTCAAAGACCCACACGGCTGAAAGACCAAGGACCATAGAGAGATATCCCTTTTCAGACAAAAGGACTATATCCTGAAGGGTTGTTTTGTTGTTAATCTTGACTTGGAACCTGTTAACTTCCCTTTTAAAAAAACACTCCACAATGATCAAGAATTGCCTGTGAGTCCTGTGTGGCCACTGCAATGAATTATTGAACGCAACACAGAAATAGGGTGCCATGGGAAGCATAGTTGGGAGGACCAAGAGGGATGGAGGGTAGAGGCATGTCTAACTTGTGGTAATCAGCCTTGGGTTGGTGTTGAGTTGGATGGTCAGTCTCTTGACTAAAGCTGGAGGAGGTCAGACATGGCCTACCTGCCATTTCTTCAAACTAGTAAGCGAACATTTGAGAGAGAAAGAGACTGGTTACTTTTGTATTCTACCTTAGAATATATGAGTATGTCGAGGCTGCAACTTTCGCAACCATTGTCTAAGGTCAGTAATATGCTGGATCTTGCTCATACAGGCTCATGAGAGTGATTCTGCGCATTTCTTCTCAACTCTATACTCAGTGACATCACACTGGTAGCTCAAAACTGGCTATGCGGGTGGGGGAGGGGGGGGAGAGTATTTACATTATGGGAATTGGCAAATGCTACAAATTATCAAAAATCTACACCAAACCCATGGTCATAGAATTGATTTCAACTCTAGTGCCCCTGTAGGACAAGAAACCATACAGTTTCTAAGACTGTAAATCTTTCCACGAGCAGACGGCTTCATCGTTCTCCCTCACACCAGCTAGTGAGTTTGAACTGATGACTAGATGCTTCGCATTCCAATGCTTAACCCACAGTACCATCAGAGCAGATGCTATAAATTAGGACTTAACTAGTCAGGAGGTTTTGCGGGGGGGAGGAGAGGGAGCAGGAAAACCAGCTGTTAAACATTTACTAACACACTACTTGTTACAGGTGATTTTATTTTTCTGTAATGGAACTTCCTTCATCCTAGTGCCTCCATTTTTCCTAGTCACAAAACATATTTAAGATTATTGCTATCTCAATCACTTGTTTTTATCCCAGTTGATTCATGGAGCCTCCCATGTGTTCCCAGTATATTCTCTAGGTTCATGGGAATGGGATGGGAAGAGGGCACTGGTTTATGGTGGTCCTTTCTCCATGTTGACCTCCTCTGGGATATAACTCACCCTCCTGGTCAACAATATTCCCTACTCCCTGTCTAACAGATGTGTAGCTGAGAATGGAATCCAGGGCCTGGGGTCCTATTGCCAGGAACCCTACTTGTCTTCTTCATTTGTGCCTCTACAGCCCTTCCCTTCATCTCTAGTCAACCGTCCTGCCTGAGTAGTGAACATTTTCCATGAATCTTTGAGTAAGAACAATGCTTTAGGAAGATATACCCTAGTTATCTAAGAGTTTTCTGTACCCTCTGGTCTACAGTTATGTCTTTCTGGGAGTCTGAGAAAGTCAGCCTTAAAGGACATCTGGTAGGTAAAGAGCACAGGAAAGGGTACTCTTAATGTGCAAACTAGCAAATCAAAGAGAAACAAGCTGGACTTTGGTTTAGCGATTAGAAAAGCTAAGTAAGCCTAGATGGTAGGTAGGAGACAAATTAGAGAAGATGTTGGAAGTTGTGATTAAAAAAAAAAGTTTAGAGTCGTGAAAATCCTTGAGAAGGAAAAATGGAAAACTTTTTAAGATTTCAGAGCCAGGTAATGATTGGTGAGTGTTTGGGATGTTTACTCTATAGTATGGATAGGAAGAGGAAGTCTGTGAACAAGGTGCGACTGTGGAGCGAGTCAAGGTTGGAGTAGTAAGGTCTCCACTAGGACTGTGTGTGCCAAATGGCAAAGCAGAGTGGATGCCCTGACGGGATGTCCTGAAAGATGATCGAGGAAGTCAACTAGACTCGGTGGGTGATTTAAATGATGGGAGGAAGAAGCGAGATGTGAGAGAGCAAACAGTGAACTGCTTATTCGACCACCTGAGAAGCTAAGATGCTGAAAGCTAACTACGTAACTGAGGGTTGCAAACTTCAGTAATTAAGAAATCTAGTCATGAGGAAGGTATGCTATTTACACAGTGGAGAATAATAAGTAAATTATTTCTTTTAATATGTAGCAAAAGAAAAGCAGCCAATGGGAATTTTCAATTCTGATTTATGGAATTCTGAATAGTAATTTGTTCTTTCTTGTGCTTTCAGGTGTTTGGGATATGCACAGTGTCGCGACCATTTATCATATTTTTGAATGTGATCCTAATTTCCAAACTCTATGGGGCTAGATGGTTTCCTAAAACCTTGCCCTGTGATGTCTCTGTGTATGGTCCTCAGGCTCAAGTGATTGTGGACTGCACAGACAAGCATCTGATGGAAATTCCCGGAGGCATTCCCACCAATACCACCAACCTCACCCTCACCATTAACCACATACCGCTCATCTCCCCAGCCTCCTTCAGCAGGCTAGACCATCTGATAGAAATTGATTTCAGGTGCAACTGTGTACCTACTCGGCTGGGACCAAAAGACAACATTTGTACCAAGCGGCTGCAGATTAAGCCCAAAAGCTTTAGTACACTTACTTCACTAAAAGCCCTTTACTTAGATGGAAACCAGCTTCTGGAGATACCTCGGGGTCTTCCTTCCAGCTTAAAGCTCCTGAGCCTTGAGGCCAACACCATCTTTTCCATAACAAAAGAGAATGTAACCGAACTGGCCAACATAGAACTGCTCTACCTGGGCCAAAACTGTTATTATCGCAATCCTTGTAATGTTTCATTTTATATAGAAAAGGATACCTTCCTAAACCTGAGGAATTTGAAAGTGCTCTCCTTAAAAGATAACAATGTCACAGCTGTCCCCACTATTTTGCCATCGAGTCTAACCAAACTCTATCTTTATAACAACATCATCGCAGAAATCCAAGAAAATGATTTTAGTAGCCTCAACCAACTGCAACTTCTTGACCTAAGTGGAAATTGCCCTCGTTGTTATAATGTCCCGTTCCCTTGTACGCCCTGTGAAAACAACGCTCCCCTACACATCCATGTAAAGGCTTTCGATGCCTTAACAGAATTGAGAGTTTTGCATCTGCATAGTAACTCACTTCGGCATGTGCCCAAACGATTGTTTCAAAACCTTAACAAACTTGAGGAGCTAGACCTATCCCAAAACTACTTGGCCAAAGAAATTGGAGATGCTACATTTCTGCATTCTCTTCCCAACCTTGTGCAATTAGATCTGTCTTTCAATTATGAACTTCAGGTCTATCAAACATTTATGAATCTTTCACATGCATTTTCGTCACTGAAAAACCTGAGAACATTGCATATCAAAGGATATGTCTTTAAAGAGTTGAGAAGCCCTGACCTCACCCCTCTAATGAGTCTTCCCAAACTTGAAGTTCTTGACCTTGGCACTAACTTTATCAAAATTGCTGACCTCAGCATATTCAAACAATTTGAAAGATTAAAAGTTATAGATCTTTCGGTGAATAAAATATCACCTTCAGGAGACTCGAGCGAGGTCGGCTTCTACTCTAACACCAGAACTTCTGTAAGCAGTTACGGACCCCAGGTCCTTGAAGCTGGACACTATTATTTCAGATACGATGAGTATGCAAGGAGCTGCAGGTACAAACGCGAAGAGGTGCCTTCTTTTTTGACCCTTAATGAAAGTTGCAAAATGTATGGGACGGCTTTGGACCTAAGTAAAAACAACATATTTTTTGTCAAGTCCTCTGATTTTCAACATCTTTCCTTCCTTAAATGCTTAAACTTGTCAGGCAATTCAATCAGCCAAACTCTTAATGGTAGTGAATTCCAGCCCTTAGTGGAATTGAAATATTTGGACTTCTCAAACAACCGACTGGATTTGCTCCACTCAACCGCATTTAAGGAGCTACGCAACCTAGAAGTTCTGGATATCAGTAGCAATAGCCACTATTTCCAATCAGAAGGACTGACTCACATGCTAAACTTTACCAAGAACCTAAAGGTTCTGAAGAAGCTGATGATGAACTACAATGATATCTCTACCTCCTCCAGCAGGACCATGGAGAGCGACTCTCTCAAAACACTAGAATTCAGAGGAAACCACTTGGACGTTCTCTGGAGAGATGGTGATAACAGATACCTACAATTTTTCAAGCATCTGGTCAACTTAGAGGAATTAGACATCTCCGAGAATTCCCTGAGTTTCTTGCCCCCTGGGGTTTTTGATGGCATGCCTCCAAATCTAAAGAACCTCTCCTTGGCCAAAAATGGACTCAAGTCGTTCAACTGGGGAAGACTCTCGTTGCTGAAGAATGTGGAAACTTTGGATCTCAGCAAAAACCAGCTGAAGACTGTCCCTAAGAGATTATCCAACTGTTCCAGAAGCCTCAAGAAACTGATTCTCAAGAATAATCAAATCAGGCGCCTGACAAAATATTTTCTACAAGATGCGTTCCAGTTGCGATATCTGGACCTCAGTTCAAACAAAATCCAGATGATCCAAAAGACGAGCTTTCCGGAGAATGTCCTCAACAACCTGGAGCAGCTGCTTTTACACCACAATCGCTTTCTGTGCACCTGTGATGCTGTGTGGTTCGTCTGGTGGGTTAACCACACAGAGGTCACTATTCCCTACCTGGCCACTGATGTGACTTGTGTGGGGCCAGGAGCACACAAGGGCCAGAGTGTGGTCTCCCTGGATCTGTATACCTGTGAGTTAAATCTGACTAACCTGATTCTGTACTCATTTGGTATATCTATGACTCTCTTTCTAATGGTGGTCACAACAGCAAGCCACCTCTATTTCTGGGATGTATGGTACAGCTACTATTTCTGCAAGGCCAAGATAAAGGGGTATCGGCGTCTGAGATCAGATTCCTGTTATGATGCCTTCATTCTGTATGACACTAAAGATCTGGCCGTGACAGAATGGGTTTGGGAGGAGTTGGTGGCCCGACTGGAGGACCCAAGAGAGAAACATTTTAATTTATGTCTCGAGGAAAGGGACTGGTTACCAGGGCAGCCAGTTCTGGAAAACCTTTACCAGAGCATAGAGCTGAGCAAAAAGACTGTGTTTGTGATGACAAACAAGTATGCAAAGATGGAGAACTTCAAGATAGCTTTTTACCTTTCCCATCAGAGACTCATGGATGAAAAAGTCGATGTGATTATCTTGATCTTTCTTGAGAAACCTCTTCAGAAATCCAAATTCCTCCAGCTCCGGAAGAGGCTCTGTGGGAGTTCTGTTCTTGAGTGGCCGACAAACCCACAGGCTCACCCGTACTTCTGGCAATGTCTGAAAAATGCCTTGGCCACAGACAATCACGTGGCTTACAGTAAGGTGTTCAAAGAGACAGTCTAGCTCTTCTTAGAAAAATGTGACTGCCTGGCTAAACAAGGAGATATTTGGTCACCTTGGATTCTCTCATCAATTTCTCACCTAGACAGTTTTGAAATTCTCCCAAGAGCTGGGATCGACGACACCAGTGGGGATTCACCATGTTGGACAAAAGAGTTTAAAAGATGGGACGGATACATAGATTCAAGTCTTTCTCCTTCAACGTTTCCACTTGCAGCGAGTCTCTCCCCTCAGCTCTTGTATAAAATTCTCTCGGGAGGAAGGTAGCAAGTCAAGGCTGGCAACATGTGTACTGCTTCCAAAGGGCATCTATCTACTTAATAAGGACCACAATTTCCCACATTAATCTCTGAAATGAAAGGAGACATACTATAAGTTGCTAGCGTCCCCTCTTCAACAATTTCTGTAAGCTTGATCGCGTTTAATGAATGGATGCTTTGGCAAGTCAGTGACAACAAAGATCATTTCATAAACATTTGACTTTGCGACATCATCAGTTTTGGTCTTTTAACACACCGAGATACACAAAGTTTGAGGTATTGGGGTATTTTATAAGCTAGAAAGCACTCGAAGACAACTGCAGTGTTTGCTGAGATGGACCAGGAGGAAGGGAAACTGAAAACCTGCTTAGAAACCTCCGCCTCTTTCGACATGAGGTTAAAGTACAATGGTGTGTGATAGGGAAAGAACCAAAAGCCCGTCCACAGGTGGCTGCAGTTTTCATTCCTGTGTAATCATGACAAATCTCTCTTTTGACTTTCTGGGGGGTCCAGAGATGGCTCAGGTCAAAAGCTACCAGTTCAAGCTAGCAGGGAAACAAGACCCTCAAGTCCCCCCCCCAGCTCTGGATGTGCGCTGCTCCTCTGCTGACCCACCGCTGGGTGGCTCTGCTCCTGGAGGACTTCCAGAGTCCCATAAATTCCACCCCACCCTCAAGGCTGGGCTCCCAGTCCTTGTTAACCAGAGATCTTAACACTGAGAAAATGTATCGGTCTTAAACTTCAATTTTAGTACTAAACAACAACAACAACAACAACAAGCCAAGCCATTCTTGAAACACACATATTTTCAATTGGTTCTAAATCCCTCCAGGAGTTTAAAGTTTGCAAGCCAACCAATTCCCGTGCTTCCATGAAAGGGGTGTATTTGAAACGATGAGGGTGTGTCTTCAGGTAGACGTGGCCATTTTAGGATCCAAGCGGAGAAGGACATTGGGAAGGGCAAAGGTTATAACTCAGAAAAAGGTACAAAAGTGTCTTTGGTTTAGAGAGAAGAGAAGTCTCCCATAGCCTCGCTCCTGAGCCAGGGTCCCTTGGTCCATCCTCATGTCTACTTGTAGCTGCATCTGTCATGACAAGGTTCAGCTGATCCCTACAATGTGGTTGGGGGAGATGTAGTCCAGGAGGGGCTGTCATGAGCTGAAAACATGGGTACCTTGTTCCTCCATTTCTGACGGAACTGTGGTGGGAATGACAAGGATCCACACATACTCTTTTCTTTCCTCTGTGCTTTTTGTTTTCCCATAAAACACGCTTTATGCTTACTTCCTCCCCTTCATCCTTATCCAGGATGAATGAAAGAGGCCTTGAGGGCCAAGTTGACATTCCATTCATGCTCGGCTCTTCTGCTTTAGCAGAACGCTGGTTCTGGGAGGGGGTTAGTAGACATGTTGTGGGAGTGTGTCCCTTCGTGGGGCTTTGAAGGGCCAGTCCCCAGGAATGGTTAGTTAGATGACGCTCTACCAGTTCCTTGCAGGGCACTTGAAACCGTTGACTCTAAGGCACACTGGGAGCTATCTGTATCATCTGAAGTACAGATGGCAGCATGGGCAGGAAACGACCAAAGAACATGGCAAAGGGGGACTCAAGGGAGGTGGGCTGTAGAGAACATTCAGGACAGAAAACCAGCCCATTGCATGGAATTAATGTAAGGAGAAGAACACGAGGCCAACCAACACACAAACTCAGTGAAGGAGAATGGTTAAAAGACAACATCCCAGAGCTGTAATGAGATTGGGGAGGGGAAAGAGTCGGCGACAGTAGTAGGAACCAACCGTGTTGATGGGAATGAAATTGCGATGGGACAGTTTCACTCTGTTTTACATTTTCTTTGCTGCCCAACTTTCTTCTCTTGCCTGCTCATCTCTCTTGGTTTCTTTTTATGGTCTAGACACCCCTGATTAGCCTGGTGCAACACACAGGCAACCAAAGAAAGCAGCTGGTGTTGCAGGTGGGGTCTTCCGTGTGGATGGAGGTAGCTTGGGGTGCTCTTTTGGTTTAAAACAGATCACTGTATCTCTCACCCAGACACACAGTAACACTCCACCTGCTTGCATGACCATGGCCTCCTGGAATCAGATCAGGGCGAGGTTCCCTGGGGGACATTAGTTGGGTTCTCCGGTACATGCCAATTCATTGTCTTTCTACTCATCTCAACTAAGTAAGCCTATGATCTAAGGAACTGGATTTATGTTGGGTTCTCTTCTTTGAAGCTGACCCTAAGCTCAGGTTGTAATTGATTTCTAACACTTTTAGTGGTTTGATTTCCTTTTAATGTCCCCCCGCCCCCAGCACACATTTGATGATTTATGTTAATTAAATGTTGCTGGAAAACCCTGACTTATAATGATTGAGGAGACTTGCATGTCTCATTCAAGAACAATCTTCGGAAAGAGTCTGATGAGATCTGGAGGGGAAGAAGAAGCCTCATGGTGGACTCCAGATATCCCTGGAGCCCCCTTTTGGGCAAAAGTGAAGTGAGCGATTGCTTCCACACACAGAATTGACTCTTAATGTTCTTCTGATGGCAGTATGGTGTCTGAAACTGACACCAGAGAAACTATCAACTAGAATTCCATATGTTTCTTGTGACTGTTTTCTGTCTTATGGAGGGAGTGATGGAGAATTTGATAGATTTTAGGGGTATTTGTAATAATGAATTGCATGAGTTAGCATCTTGAGCAATCGATAGGAACCCATATTCAAGAACCATGGCCCACAGGGATCATACTACTAAGAAAACCTCCTGACTCGTTTGGGAGTTGGAATTAGTTTACTGCTCTGAAATCACCCTGAACCAAATCGAGATTTGAGGTCAACCAATGAGGGCTTTGTGACTAGGTAAAATGCAGTATTATATATATATTTTTAAAAAGTCAGCAGTGATTATATCTCTATCCTAGGTCTGCCTTTCTCATGATTCTGCTGCTTTTGGATTGAGGCATCCTAATTGAAATCTTCAGTTAATTTGGAACTTGCCGGGGATCATTTCAACATATGACTGCTTCCCAGTAACACGCCATGATGAGACCCAAACCCAGGACACATATTCCACATAAGGAGGACAGCCATCCTGAGTGTGGCTCCTGGCTGTAGGATAAGAGGGAGGAGACTTAGAACGAAGAGAAGATGAAGTCCCAGGGACCCAGCCAAGGTTATCAAGCCGGAGAGGAGAAGAGGGGGAACAAAGATGAGTTCAATGCTCCTTGGAGCCCATTCAAATTTCACATCCCTCTACAAGGCTGGTGCTGGCAGCTCCATCTTAAAGATGATAGGTTAACTCTGAAATGAAGGTAGGATTGGAGAGCCGAAGGCAACTGAGAAATAGCGCCCCCGTCGCCCCCACCCCCACCGCCAAAAGAAACCAAGTCCTTCAACTGGTCAGGCATGGCCCCTCCTCTAGTGGGAACGAGAATTATCCAGAAAGCCTGAAAGCCATGCCGATTCTGGGTCTCCACACTAGGGATCCTGATCTCTGAGCCCAGGACCCTGCATTTCAGAAGCAGCTGGTCTGCAGAATGAATACAGGTGGGGAAGCATCAAGGACATCCTCTTTGGGGATCCCAAGCACTGCTGGTGCGGGGACGACTCTAGTCCGAAAACCCAACCTCACCCCCTCTCGCTCTGCTACACGTATGGCCAACCCATCTTTACATTTCTGCGGGGAGGGGCCTCAAACTCAAATCCTTTTCTCCTAAGCAGTGTTTTTGAAGAACATATTTGAATAATTTAGGACCGGCACTTCTGATCAGGGCTAGAATGGGAGGACAGCTTGTACAAGAACACAGGGGTGGATAGAGATAAGGGCAGGGCGTCAACGATCTCTCGGAGTCCCGTCCATGTAACAACTAGAATTACTGTTTATACTTCCCATGAAAAGAGGAGATCTTGTGATCGGTTCCCCCTTTCTCCTTTCTCCCCCCACCCTCCCCTAATCCTCCTGGTATCTCTATTCTCCTTGTTGGCCCTGAGGGGTTTATCTATCCTGGATTCCCTGTGTTGC